CACGGAAATCTTTAGTAAAAGGCGAAAGATTTGTCCGCAACTGAGGAGATGCCAGAGTGCGTGACCCCCGCCCGCACCTCCCCTCCACCCACCTCCACCCCACCACCTGCCAATCTCCTCTCACCTCTCCACTCATGCATTCTCCCTGTGGGTTTCGAGGCATTTGTCCAATGCCCTCGCATAATCACCCTCCTCTTTGCCCCTCATCGGCTCCAACTACTGCTCCTTCTCTCGTCATTCCCTCAGTCGCGCCACAATTTCATCCCGCAACTTATGAGTAGTATGCACACCACACACCGCCCCGAAGTGACACCGCCATCACCTCCGCAACCCCAACCGTCGACATGGAAGGAGTGTGGCACGCGTCGTCGCGGTGTGAGCCATGCCACTAGAAGCGAAATCAATGTGACAGGAGGATTAGGAGGAGAAGGAGGAGGAGGATGGTCTACTGAAATGACGCAGAAGTGATAGTAGTAGTAGAGTTAGTAGCAGTAGTGGCGGCAATGGCGGTTTGTGAGGGGCAAGTGGTATTGGGTCCAGGAGGCGTGTGGGGCGAAATGGTGAGGAGAGCTGAGGGAGAATAGGAGAAGGGAAAGAGGTGGCGTGAGGACAGTGGTGAGTGGGGCTCAATTCGATGTGCGTAGGCGGAGGGGGAGAAGTTGGAGATTGGTGCGTTAAGATTTAGGTGTTGCGACGGTGGGCGGGACGAACGTATCTCTTCGGAGGTACATATACTAAAATTGGAACGATACAGAGAAGATTAGCATGGCCCCTGCGCAAGGATGACACGCAAAATCGTGAAGCGTTCCATATTTTTCGATTTTTCCTAACACCCCTCGCCCTCCGCCTAATGCCTTTCCCCCACCTCCCAACCCCTCCTTAGTCAATTGGTCCAATTCATTTAATTCTACTAATATCAGTCTCACTATTACTCATGGCAATCATACCAATCTTCTTTCCTACTACCACTAATATTAATTTCAATCATTTTATTGTATTATTACACATTAGAATACATTTATTTTTGGGTGGGACAAACGCTGCTGCTTGGATCAAAACATTATTTCTAATGCTCTAAGCAAACAAAAATGATCTGATTTCGCCTTGGAGCACGGAAGTTTTAAATTGTTAAGTCAAAGTCTATTTACTAATGTTTACGAAAACGGACACCGAGAATCTTTGGTGTTTATTCTATAACAATAGGTCATAACCGAGGACATGATTGGATAAACAAATTTAAGTTTTGTTATGACGATTACTTTGGAAGTGTTGCTACGGAGCGATACACACGACAACAGTTGCAGATAAACTGATTAAAGCATTGAAATTCGAATTTCTGATAGGGTTTTCAATGTAACAGCTACTGGCAACGATTTATGCCCCTAATTGTAGACACCTAATTACGTTACAGGAGTTATTTCCATCCTGAAATAATCCGACCGGCTTGTCCTGGCGTTCTTTTCATGCGTATGGACGGTCTTCCAGGAAAAGACAATTTTGTATTTGCTAATTTGACTGACAAAATTGAAACCTAGTCTGACAGTCATCTTAACAAACGTAAGAGGTTGAATACCAATGCGATTTTCCTAAGCAAGAAAGCATTTCAAACAAGATTCTATGAGGCTAGTGCTTTGATGATAATTACAGAAAAAAGGTCTATGTAGGCACATAACGCTCAAATTGAAAGTAAAAAAGCAATTACAAAGCACCAATACTTAGGAGATCAGCTTCAGACGAACTGGCATTATCGAGGAATTCACGAGTACTGGCATGCAATTTTTCCCAAGAGAGAGCCAGAGCATGCACAAGGTGGGACACCGACTTATTGCTAGTCTGATTTCTTCCATTTGGGGATGTAGGAGACATATTAAAGGGATTTCTAGTATAGACAGCTGGAGAAGTCTGCCGAAATGCATCGTCTTTTTTGCTTGCAATATTATTACTACTGTTTAGCGCACGCAAAGTATCTTCGAGTTCTTCAACTGAGAGCGTAAGGAACTCCGAACCGCAATGAGCTAGTGCCTGCATCCATGACTAAACCATAAAAAGCATAAATATAGAAGTACATTTACCTCGGCTTCAGCATCTGATTCTGCCTGGAGAAAATAGCTACGACCAGCATATGTGGATGTATGGAAATGAATGGCAAACATACGTTCGTCAACTAGTTCCACAGAGTGTCCTTCGAGAAATATAACACCAAGAGGTTCTTTGCTAAGTTTAGTTTCGCTATATATGAGAATATTTCCGCGAAGAACAAAGTATCTTCGTTTGAAAGAATGTTTATTTTCAGAGTGCTTTTTAAGTAAATAGCCCTCTTTTTCCGGTGATTTTGGATATGAGAAATTAATTACTGTTTTCTCATTGAATATTTTCATGGTAGCTTAGTTCGCTTACATAACAAGACTTATCAAATATATCAGCACAAATTTACCACAAAATGAGATATGTCTTCGACGATCAGATAAAGCACAGAGAGCCCTTAAATGGCACAATGATTCGCCTGGAACAAGCCAATTATTTTTCAAGGGACAAATATTTTTGACTCTTAGGTTTAGGCGTTTTCACTTATTTGAAACGCTATATTTTAATTACATTGAGAAAATGGGAGAAAAATAAATTTAAGGTTAATAAAACGAATTAATTTCAAGTGACCTTATTGTTTGGTATTTTAATTAAGGGGGTAATTTTGTAGTCATAGCCAATAAATAAAATAGCCATTGACGGGCAAATTGATATTGCAATTGTGAAAATATTTATCTTTAAGAATTGGAATAAGTTATTGTGTTCCCCCACTTAACTCCAAAATTAACCAAGTATTCTCTAATTTCTTGATTGGTACACATCATTTCGTCATAATTAAAGGAACATTGAGTTAAATAACGGTCTGGATAATACTATCGTAAGTTTCTACAAAGTAATACGCTTCTCTTATTATGGTTAATGGAACTAACACTGATTTATTTCATTGCATTAATTTTAAGCAAAATTGAGCTCCCTCCTGAGTATATACTTTTCAAAGATTTAGCATACTTACCTAATGTTGGCAAAGTCGATAAATACGTGCTTAAAACTAATAAGGCCTAGTCTTCTAGGTTGTTAGCTCGACATTTTGCTGTCCCAACTAGATCGACAAACAAACCCACAGAGTCAAAAAAGTTCTAAATTTGGAGACTAGCTAAAGATATGAAAATTCACTTTTAGTTTGCATAATTAAATGATATTTTCTAATTAATTCAAATTTGTTATACACAAATTAAAGTTAATAACGGCACAGAAACTTTATACATAATGGACGATAGAGGGATCTCAATACCTATTTCCATTATAATATATAATTGTTTTGGTGACTGATCAGTCACTAGTTCCTTATGACACTTTTTTAATACTAAATTGTGGCAAACGCTTTATGACGCCTGACAATAGTTTATATTTAAGATAGTTATAAATATTTCAAGTCAATTTACCTTCCAATTCTTAATTTTTGAAAAGTGATTTACACAATTAATTAAATAGAATAATTTCTACTGCCACTTAAAATACTGAGATTGATTTCACATAATTCATCCGGCTCATATTTTTCAGTTATTCTTAAAATAGCTATTTATGGTAGGCAACTGAAATCCTTTGCAGAAGAGCCAAGGTTAAAGGGAATGAGGTGAATGAATGCGCACTGTCAAGACATCGAGGAGTCTTACTTCATTTATTAGGCCCTGATAAATAACCAACTGGACATAATTGAGCGGTATCGTTCAACTAAATTAAAATCAATACTACTTAAGTAAGGGGTATCTAGTACTTAGATTGTGAGACTACAGCTCTTCCTCACTCACCATAGAACATTCTAGAATGTGGGGACATACGTGCAGATAACATCTTGGACAATCAGCAAACGCGTTTATTCAAAGTAGAATATCATTGTTTGCATATAATGCCTAATCATGTGGGTAGTTTGCGAACGCGTCCCATAAACGCCTTCCACGGCATAAGCCCTGTTTTCTATTTCATAACTTCAGGAGAAATCGCATACAGGGGTTTTTCACTGAGAAGGCTACTAGTGTTTAGTCGATGCTTACTTGTGCAGTAGGTAACAGAGTAAATTAAAGATAATTGATTGACTTTATGCCATAAGGTGTGGAATACGAAAATTTATTGCACAATTGACTTTATCATTGCCAATAAGACATCAATTCTAGTTCTATTAAACTAGGCCTTCACAATGGCATTTATTATTTGCCCCTTACAAATGCACAATAACTTTGGACATTTGTTTTAAATCATCACAATTCCCAAATAAGTTTAAATAGAAATACTATTTTATTGCGACATAGGTTGGGAAGTCGTAACAGCCACTTAAGGAACAAGTGGTCTTCAATAAGCATATGATGAATATTTTATGAACTTTCCCACTTGTCTAACATAGTACTTCAACTTTTGGGTTTTATGGATGATGAAATTGGAATTGTATGAACGCAGTTGAGAACACACGTTGTTATTGTCCTTCTTCACACATGAACACATGTTTGTCACTAAAGCTTCTTTTAAAGTAGCTCCGTCTTTTGCCAAATGGTCGGAAATATGCGTCAGGTGGCCAATTGTTTGGTGCACAGCTACACTTTAGTACAATTTAGTTATAATTGAAAACTTTGCCAAGCATTCCATTTCCGAAGTCAATATTTACTTAGATCTAAAAATTGTCTGTCATTCGAAGAATATTTCCAAGGTTNTTTAAACAGGTAATTTTCCTTACTTTTGTCTTTCAATTTATCCACTTAATCTATCATTTCTTCAAAACGTAAATTCCTTTTGATCTAATAAACATTTTGAGAGATGTGAGTATCTTTTAACTTGTGTTTAAATTTAAGATGAAGTTATTTGATTGATTCATTCGTCACCATTGGTGCTCGCTAAAATTAGCCTGATCTTGTCAATAAATTTTGAGGTTTTCAGGCATTGCTGGTCCTGTAAGTGGAGGTAGAATGAGTGAAAAGTAAATCTCTATTTTAGGAGTCAAATCATTTCACAATTGAGCATTTTCTAACAAATTAAGCCAATGAGAATAAAACTCTATTTATCTGGTATTACGAAGGCGAGTAAAAAAATTATCAGACAAATTGCGTAATTTGTTCATTTAACGAGCAATTACATTCAATTTCTAGCCTAGTCTCAATTGGTGTCTATGTTATTTTGTAATCAATATTTCAATCAATAAATCCCCTCATGATGGAATTTTGAGGGCTGTCTCTGCCACCATGAAATTAAATGCTCTTTAGCTTCACTTAACGAGATGTCTGTGAGGTGTTCCTTCAGTTTTTGAAACAAAAAGTCCGAGTTTTTACGAACATTTAGAGGAACACTTGCTTTTCGGTACCGAAGTCTGATGCCGAAGGTAGTTCTATAATTATAAGACAATTACACATGAAAAATAACTATCTTCAGTGTCTATAAGACATATTCCGTATGGGGAGGTTAAATATTTGTCTGAATGAATACTTATTTTGAAGAACAGATAAAACTGGCCTGTCGATAATTTAATGATGTTGGGGTATGGATGGCTAACTTATGGACCAAGAAAACGATTTAAGTACTAGAAACTAATGCTATTCACAATCAAATAATGTGTGAAATATTAATGACTTTATAATAAATAAAATTACCAATAATTACAAAAGTGGAGGCCCTTAAGCCAGAGCTATATTAGCTGTATTCAACCAAGCGCTTAATCTATATTCTATTGGTATTTAATTATTAATAATGAAAGGTTTAAGATGTGACCAGCGACTCCATTTTAAACATGATAGGGCTCAAAATATGTGTTATTTCTTTCAGAATTTTTATGAGTTAGTAGTTCCTACTGAGATTTCTTTCAGTAGGATGCAACAGAACAATTAATAATTTTTTGACTAAAGCTTGGTAGAAAAGTATGAAATCTGTACATAGACGGATACAACTAAATTTTGGTATGAAATTTAAAGATGGTTGTTTTCGCAGTAATTCTGAACATCACGGAGATGAGGAACATTGATAACGGCACCTTAGAAGTTTGTCCTTGAGGCCAATAAACAGATATACTAAGCTAAACGATTAATAGATTAATAGGTTACGACTATAGGTTAAATAAAGTTCTATTCGAAATTAAATGAATTATTAATTCAGACGTGGTTAAGTAAAAACCATTCAAAATTACGTCAAAGCAGGAGATCATGTCACTGTTAAGATTTTACGCAGTGGCAAAGAAAATCACTGAAGAAATTAAAGTCCGTAATATTGAAATCGGTTATTTATTTGTAGTACCTGGTCAACAGATATCGTAATTAGCATAACTGAAAAAAAACCAATCGAATTTGTGAACTACCTTCGGCATCAGACTTCAGTATCGAAAAGTAAACGTTAATCATAAATGTTCAAACAAAACTGCTATGTGAATCTCATTACCTCAATTTCCGCAATGCGGTCAAGCAAATTTCCATCAAATACAATTAGACTTTGGAATAATTCCTCACGGTGTAAGTTTTATCCTTATTCGCTTACTTTGTATGCAAATGATAAATAGTGAACTGATTTGATCGTCAAAATAGAGAATTACCTTTCCCTCATATTTTCACAAACAGGGCCAGTATTGCCTAATGACTTTAAAATATCGTCACAACAACAAGCTAATTTTAGCTAGCACAAAGGAAGATTAATGGTGCTTTCTGTGTGAAAAAACTCGTCAAAAAATCTACTTCAGATTTAAGCACAGATCAAAAATTATGGGAGGTTTTCAACAAATGCGTAGTCAGTTTGTTAAAAATAAAACTACTTGTCATCGTTGCTATTCCCCTTTGTGTTTTTTGAAATTTTAGGGCGGCAGAGGTAGGGGGTGATGCGGGTAGGGATTACATTTAAGTGACACATTGGCAAAAGCGACTTGTAATTATACCCCCAACTGTCTTTGATATTAACGACATTTTTGACAAAAATAGAAATAGGTAAATGCAGTTGCTATATTCAGACACCACATCCTCATTTCATTCACTTTGTAATGGAAATGAGAACAACAAGATTGTAATTGGCCTTTTCATTACATACCTAAATGGTCTCACTGTCCGTTTCTACAATATAGCCAAGGTAAGAAGTGATTTCAGGTCCCTGCCTGGGAACAATCAACCAACAGTCTGCATTTACTACTTTTAAATATTTATTTATATCAAATGGGAGGCATTTTGTTAGTTACCATTAGCCCTTTAGTTGACTTCAGGCTTTACAGAGGGGAAGGAACATCAAAGTAAAAAAAGTTGGAAGGGGGGGAGAGCAGAGAGGGTTTCAAAGATGTTAATGAGCCAGACACAAAGGTAGAAAAAAGGTGAGGTGAGTACAGTAAAAGTATTCGAATATGACAAACAGTGGGGTGACGGTAGTTTGAAGTCAGAAGTCAACTGCCTATTAATAGACTTTTGCTGTACGAGTATACGTTGCCCAGGGTGCACCACGCGGAAGTAAGTCTATCGCCCACTCCTACTTCTAACTATAAGTCTGATGTCAACGTGCCTTTTGTGTACATATAGGACGGTATTATTTTTACTACTCGGGGTGCAGGATAGACTTACCTCCCCGTGGCGTATCCTGGACAATGTATATTCATAGGAATAAAAAAGTCTATGGACCAGCAGTTGACTTCTGACATCAAACTACCATGACCCTATAGTATGTCACATTCGACCACTTCCATAATACTCACCTTACATTTTTTCTCAACCATTGTATCTGTCTCTTTTATATCTCAAATCACTCTTCTGTTGCCCCTCTCAACTTGTTATGACTTTGATGTTCCTCCCCTTTGTGAAGCTCGAAGTCAACTAAGGGGATAATGATCACTATCACAAAGCCTATCATTTGAAATAAATAAATGGTAAGAGAGTAGCAGGTTGCGGTCAGCACTTTCTTAGCCTTTTGGTGTCTTGAACAAGCACATCCTTCATGACACTTTTTTTAACCATCAGACTAGTTTCGAGATATTTCAAGTTACAGCAGAATTCACCAGTTTTGCTCATTTTTCATGCTAATTGAAATCACCAGATCGTTTAATTCAGGAAAGTTTTACATTTTCATATTCTCTTCTGTTCTTCACAATTCACATATATGCAAATTCAATTTCATCTGAAATCAGTTTTCTCACAGACCTCTTTCATGTTATAATATCGATAATTTGAGTCAACTTCATGTGCTATGTATACCTTTTTTCTAGTTGAGCTCTCACGAAGAGTGGTTCGCATCATCAAGTACTCCCCCTCTGTTTCTATTAATACATACCACACAAAATTCTGCTTGAAATACTTGTTCTCATGAATGGGCGTTTTCTTCATCTTTTACAAGTATCAACAAAGAAGTTTCGACTAATGCGTGATATGTTTTTAAAAAGTTGAAGACTTATTCGTGGGTATGCTATATTTAAAAAGGCAGAAATTTACGCAAATGCAGTTGGCGCAAATTAAACGCTCAGTGAATTTAATCAAAAAATGGTAACAAAAATGTGGTTTGGAAGAGACGACACATATCTTTCGAGAGAAAATCGAAACTGTGTTTGTCTAGAGGATGGTCCATTTGGTTAGAATCTGGCTTCGAGGTCGACTAGCTGAGAGTCACAGGAGTGGTTGAGTTCGCAGCCCTATTTCCCCATTCCTAGTTTCCATGAGCCTATATCTAGAGTGAATCCAATACCAAAAATACGTTGGTTCAACTGAAATTAGGCAGTATTTCAATATCCGTTCATTGCACAACCTGAGACAATGCATGCACGGAAAATGTTCTTTGAGGGTAAAAATGGGAAGTAAAATTTTAGCCATTTGGTTAACCTACTTAGCCTCTTGGCGTGAAAATAAAACCGCAAATTCGCTTTAATAAGAAATTATGTCGAATAGAGGAAGAAGTGCATAGACTATTTTAAGGAGAATCTACTTAATCAACTTAATCAGATAAAAGTCGGAGCACAATTTGAAATCAGGACTTCTTGAGGCTACAAGTAACTGAGAAGTAACTTCGGGTTTGAGACACTTAGTGTTGTATCAATAATTCGGAAAAGAGCTATAAGTGTTCAAAAGGAATTACTTTTATTCAGTTGTCAATTTTAGAGTAATTTGGTTTGGCTTATGTGAATTTAAGGAGCATAAAGCAATACAATTTCATCAAATTCATATGTGGAAGTGGGGTGTGCGATAGACTTACCTCCACGTGGTGCACCCTGGGCAACGTATACTCATACGGCAAAAAAGTCTATTAACCGGCAGTTGACTTCTGAGTTCAAACTACCATCACCCCATTGGATGCCAAATTCTACCACTTCCACAGTAATCATCCTACCTATTCTCTGCCTTTGTGTCAGTCTCTTTTACAACTGTAAATCACTCTTCTGTTCCCCTCCTCTCGACTTTCTGTTACTTTGATGTTCCTTCCCCCCCCCCTGTGAAGCCCGAAGTCAGCTAAAGGACTACTGATAACTATCAAAACGCCTGCCATTTGAAATAAATAAATATTCGGGAGTTCATTCAATCTTATAGGAACTTAAGTCATTTGCATAATTTTATATATTCCCACTTGTAACCGAGTGAATTTGTTATGATTAAAAAGTGATGAATAGAGGGCAGTTTCATTGTGCTAATGGACTGACAAGGGTTTATATAAGTTGAGTCCAGTTCCAGTCTCAGCTAAACTTGTTTTGATATCAAAAAATTATTCCCACATAGATGTGTGATAGAGAAATAAAGTGAGCCTCAGTGTTTTACCAAATGGTTTGTTGCAGTGTTTACACTAGGGCATATTTAGCAGTCTCACTTTCCGACTGATGGCTCTATAACAGAAAAGAAGTGACTACTTATCCCACAATAATCCACCCCAGTAATAATTCATAAAACATGTGTTTCTTCGTATATATCGTGTTGGTATGAGTCATTTGAAACAAGGCGACAACTATTGGCTCTGAGGAGGGCAATTGTACCAGCATTTTGGTAGGTCTTGTCCAATTATGGAGCTTTGGTTGACTTATCCTATTATACTAACGGATCAGGGATGGGTGATAGACTTACCTCTACGTAGTGCACCCTGGGCAACGTATATTCATACGGCAAAAGTCTTTTAAATGGCACTTGATTTCTCACTCAAACTACCATCACCTCACCCTATGCCATATTTGGCTATTTCCACAGTACTCACCTCACCTTTTTCTACCTTTGTGTTTGTCTCTTACATCTTTGAAACACTCTTCTGTTCTCCCCCCCCCCTCTCGACTTTTTCAATTTGATGTTCCTTCCCCTCTGTGAAGCCTGAAGTCAACTAAAGGACTAATGATAACCATCAAGACGCCTGCCAATTGATATAAATAAATAATACTAACGGATCTATCTTAGCTTACAAAAACCTAATTTAATTACAATGCAACCAACTCATCATTTACTTAAATCGCCAGATTAGTATGTTAAATTCAGGCCTATATTAAAAAATTGACGTCAATGAATTGGATGATAACTAAACTTTAGAATGGTAAGTGTCTTAAGATGTTGTTCTAAGCTCAAATTATGTCCATGTGGTGCTCAGACACACTGATTCTGGACATAGTCATATAAAACGATGTAATCTAGATGTCACTTGTTCTCTCTGGGGTCTTCATGATTTGTAGGTAATTCCCAAGAAGTTAGAGTGGCCGTCTCGAGATACTTTCCCTTTTACAAGACTCTCCCACCATATATTCTTGATTTTTACTTACTTATTCAAACTCAATTCTGTTATATTCCACTTTAAACGATGCTGATGGCATCTTAGCATTCAGGTTAGCAAAATTAGGATGGGCTAGTGAGGTCGGCTGTCGGAGATCGATACAATTCAAAGTTCTTTCGATTTCAATCTCAAAACAAAATGGAGAGTGTGTGCGTGCAGAGGCAGAGCAAGTGGATTGCTGTGGTTCTTGTGCATACACCGCTTTCTATAGATAGAACAAAGCGAGGAGAATGTACTTTTGGAGGAAAATCAGACTGTCTAGGTTTGAAAAAGAATGACTCAATATGCCAGTGTAGATGAAAGTCGGAGACGAATGTAGTACATAACTCATCAAACAGACGTCAGTACGGAGACCAGGACAATAGATTTAGATAAATATAATTACTCAAACGTACATTGGGAAGCTTGAGAAAAGTGACTTTATTAAAGAAAGCCACCGAAATCAATAGGGAATTAGCACAGAAATAAATTGCTGTTTTCTTTAATATAATTTAAAATTGGGATTTGTTTAAATCGTGTCAAATTTGGCTTTCCAATGGTTGATTCCCTAAAAAGCTTAGAATCTTTTTTGATTTCATTTAGCAAAGTCAAAATTTTAACTATAATTGGAAAGAAGCAATATTGTAAATTGAGAAGTTATTCTGCCCTTTTTTGACTGTTTAGAACTCATCACCAATGAAATAATGCTGACATAGCCCAAAACCTTGATGTAAAGGGACCATTTATCAGTGAGGTGTATTGCACAAAGTCCACTGGCTTGACAATAATGAATGACAAAGACTAGATAAAGAATATCTGCGTACTAGTCAATACCAACGCCCACACAAAGCTTGCTAGATGTGTAGGAAAGACAAAGAGAAGGTGGCTGGTGAGAATCGATGGGGAAGAAACGCAATGGCTTATGAATACGGTGAGAGCAAGACGAATTGTCAATATTTAGTTGGCAATGCATAATGAGGCTTGCTAATATACACGTGGAGTCCACTGCTACGGCATTTGCATAAATATTTCTGCCTTCGGAAAAGACTTGAAATGTGGAACCTTATTTCATTCACTACACGATTTATTCCTCCGTCAAGTACACCTCGATTACCGCATTAAGCAATAATTCACTCCAGTATATGGGAATACTTCATTTAGGTTTGGAGTGAGCACTGCAGTGCTTAAATTCAATTACTTTTCCTGCCTACTTTGGACTTTGTCTTTGGTGAGCTAAAGAAACGTTCCATTACCTCCATTATCTCATTTACCCACCCTGAAACCCTGGTTTATGGTAATTAAAATTGTGCACTGGAACACTAAGAAATTACAATCAGATGAGGTAGTCAAATCAGGTGTTCAGAATTTAAACAGAATAAGACTTTTTTTACTCAGACTTCAGTATACGCATCTAACCTATGCCATTTTCCCGCCCTTACAGGATTACATTACAATTTGGAGCGTTTAGATGGCACCCATGATACATGTTTATAACTTTCTGGGATGACAATAAAGCCATTATTAGCATTGGGTCTGAGAGAACTCTTTCAAGATTAAACGAGTTCGTTCATGAGAGCTAGTAGCATCATTCTTTCTTATAGAACAAGTCATCATGCTCGGAGTAAACAAGCGAACACGATGGGCAAAAGCTCTTGCTTGAGAGATGAAAAATAAAGCAGGAACTATGTCCTCTTAAGAAAAAGAGTATAACCAATAATGGGAACTTTCAGACGCTTGGATCACATTCCTAGCCTCAATTGGATCTTTTCCACGTAACCTTCTCTAGGGCTATTTTGGGTAACCCTTTTTCGGTTAATTTCCACAAGGTAAACGTTCTGCCCTTTCCTGCTCTGTTTAACGGTACATTTCTATTTCACTTCGAAAGGTGAGTCGTGAAAGAATCACTGAGATAGTTATAGTTTTTATAGTGAAAATTAGGCTCACGTACTGTACTTGTGAAGGATACCATATAAGAGTGGAATTTTAACATGCGTCAAGTGCACGCAATTTTACTCACAGAAACTTTCACAATCAATGATTAGCAAAGAGATGTGATGCGATAATGTTTTCATATGAAGGATATCAAGTTAATACGACAATATCAGGCTTCAAGTAAACAGAGGATAGACATTTTGTAACTGCTCCTACTCCAATTCATTGCAATGATTGAAATTTCTTTTACATCATGAAAAGAGGTCTTTAAGACAAGGTAGAGGGTAAAATGCGCGTTCGATGATACCAACATCTGCATTCTACCAGACCGTAGAAGTTTGCTTAAGTGCATCTCATATTCTAGCCAGTGGCTATTATTCTCCCCTCTTAACGTCCTGGCGGGTAATTCTGTACTGACTGTCGAGGTTTCCCGCTTACCCCATCTTCACTTCATCGGTGGGATGTGATATTGGTGGTCAACAAGTGGATTAATTTTCCTGATCATTCATCATACTTATCAGCAAATGTGCTAATACTTATTGTATCTTGATAATTAATCAGAAAAGCCCAATCATTTATCTGAAACTGGGTTTTATATAAAAGAAGCTCAATATTACTGCGAAAACTTTTATTTATTTTCTCAGTTTTTGCCATATTGCCAGATTGATTACACACTTATCCTCTCTCCCCATATCTGAGTGGATATTAGTCTTGAAATATCTTGGCATCATAGGAATGGAAGTTGAGTGTCAAACGATCAAAGGGCCTACCTATCCTCGCGATTAATAAATAAGTATGGCATGGAACGAATTATTACCTTTGCACTGAAATTCAGTACGCTACGCACACATGATAATTCAAATCTGCTCTCATCAATGAACTTAAACGAGTCACCAAAACTAAGGCGGTTTCTGGTGTCGGTTAGCAGAAAGATGAAAAGACGTAAAGAAAAATTCTTACACTTCACATGTAATTTATTTTCTACTCAGATTTTGATCGTAACTCTTTCAGATTTAGTCAACATGGCCTGGTGAAATGATCACCAGAAAAATGGTTTTCCTCGAACCCCACCCCATTTACAGCACCTCATGAGGCCATTCAAACAACATATATTTCAACTTTAAAGTAAATACATAGAGTTCCACATTGCTTTATTCGGTACAAAAAGAAAGAAGGAGAATGGATTGGAGTTTATCTAAATGGAAGTGAGAGCTGGAATAGAAGTTGTCATAAAGAAGTCAATAATACAAAAGTTCAACAAAAATATTCTGACTGTAATCTTTGGAAGTTCATAGGTTTAATCAAATTATCCATTAGTCCTCAAATCATGTTATACAGTTGGCAGTTGGACAGCACCTATGATAAAATATTCTTGATAAAAGAGCAATGACAACAAAACATTTCTTCGTAATTTAAAATTCCCGATAAAATAAATTACTATTTTTAAAACAATAGGGACTTGCCATCTTGATCCCCGTTTTGACTCTTATTGCTCACTATATCTAAAAATAAAAAAGCATAAAATCAGATCTAGTAAAATTTGGCTTTACTTTCCAAAATGAAAAATCGATCTTGTAAAATTAAGTACTAGAATGACACTTACCAACAATGTCATTGTGAGGTGACGGCAAAGCTGGCGGAATTAAATCAAAAGAAATAAAAAGTCCTCTTCTAAATAACGAATATATCAAAAAGTAATACATTAACTGAATTTTCAAAATGCGATTTTATCCATTTGATTGTACAGAAGTAAGAATAAACTGGGGAGCTGAGGCTTCATATTAGATATGTGATAATTCTAAATTCAAGCAACCAATTGCCATAAATACAGTTTTGACTTTGGTGTTCTTTTAACCTAGAAATAAATCACACTTGAATCTTTAATCGCCACGTCTCAACCTCCATTTAACTTTCAACTTAATTAGCCCATCACCTGCACGTTAGACTATACTTTGTCTTCCCAATGACTCACCGACCCTCCCCCTTCATTATAGCTACTCATCAAGCTTTTTGACAATTCCAGATTCCACACTGTACCTCAATCTTTCCAACCTTCTGGATAGGGTGCCACAATCTCACTTTCTCACCTAGTAAAAGCATCCAAACGGGTTTCAAAGCTGTGAATATTAGTCCATACCGGTTAAACCCTACAAAACCCCGATTCCCTTAACTTGAACAATTTCAGCTGCTAGATTTCTCCCGGCAACAGAAACCTTTGTCCTGGATTATGAAATGTGTAAACAAAAAGTCTCAAGAGAAACCGAATCACCGCTCATAAAATTCTGTACAATTCTTCTTGATGTCTTTCGACATAATCGTCAATGCAAATATCCTTTTCATGTGTCCTGAAGAAAAACATTTTACACCCCTTGCCAATTAGTATGCACAGTAATTATAAAATCACGTATCAATGCAGCCCTGTAAGTATCTATTGAAGTGGGAGACAACTACCCTGTTTAAGTCTGATCAACAGGATAAGTGGTGGAATGTGAGTTCCTCTTCAGAGAGGCTTCAAGATACTTCCCATTCTAACACACTGACAATTATTGGTTCCATCTCTTCAACGCACCTCGGCAGTTTACCTGTCAGTGTGCTATTTTGTTCTGATGATGTTCGCAAATGTGCACCAAGTCTAACTCCTCCAACCTTGTTATAAGAAATAAATTGAACTGCATAAATATGGGAAAACATACCAAATGGCGTAAGAATAGTCGGACCCAGATTTTCTTTCTTAATAACGTGAAGAACAAAGAGATACAAGAATGCCATTTGAACCTATCATGGAAAAAACAAGTGCATTTAAAAAGCGAACGATTTCTGAGTTGGCCATATCAGTATAAGAAAAAAACTAAGAGCCAGATCATTTAATTTAGGCAATTTATGGGAAGATGAGCAGTGCATTTTCATAGTCTTCCAATAACTAGAACTCACAATGCTAATTCCGTAGATGGAGATTCCTTACGTGGAATGATTTTGAATCTGAAATCGGTATTTGGGACAGTTGCATGCACTTCGATATATCTGACCACTGTTTCAACTGCCGCTAATCAGGTCTAAGACACTTACTCACCGAATGAAAATGAAGTCTAAATGTCTAAGTAGGCATTCTTTCTCTTCACGCATACATTCACATACAGTCCAATTTCTTCGTTTCGAATTGCGGTCTCTCATCGCCTACTCAAATCCTGGCCAATAAATATTAGCAACGAAATTAACACACTCCAAATGCTTTCTCATATGACAGAGACGTGTTAGATCTTCTTAAATGATCGAGCCAACTGGAAGATCATTTGAATTACATTTACTTCAGAATGATCACATCTGAAAGGGAAAACCAAGGGTGTATTGAACCTCTTTAAAGTAAGTGAAACGAAATGGTATTCGTGCACTTATTGCAGCTTGAGTAGCCGACAGGAGCTAGATTTTTTCATATTTCAAAAATGCTAAAAGTGGACGCCTGAAGTTAACACATAAACAGATGATGTATGGGTATAAATCGGTAACTAGGCATCAATGGAGTATGAGTATCTTCAAAATTCATCAACTCACTATAGTCTGCACCGTAAGCATTCTCCATCGTCGCAAAGCCAACACTGTACCCACTACATCAATTTTCGAGGGATCTCTTCTCAGTTGTTCAAGAAGGAATCGTCCACAAATAAGTGTTCCTGTTCTGCCAACACCAGCACTGAAAGTGTGACAAATAAATATAACAATTAGTTGATTCACCATACACCAATCCTACTGATTGTATTGACAACTTCACTAACCTGCAGTGAACTACTGGTGGACCATATTCGCCTATTGGGTATTTGGTATTGAGTTCCATGTGCAGTTTCAGCAATTCATAGTATTCATCCATTTCCATACACTTTAAATCTTCCCACACGAAAGTTTGAATTTGTGTGACTGTCCAAGGCTAAAAGATAATTCAAATTCCCATTAGACTTTTCAGGGAGATGACCACAATTCAATCACACCACTGTAT